AATTTAGCTTCAAACATACCCTTATAAAGTGCTATTTCTCCTTAAAGTTGGTCAGGGTGACAAAGATGTTAACATCACAGCTTAACACACGGCACACATTCCAAACACAGTTATTTGAAAGGTAATGCTGTCTACTCCAAGTCTCCAGATCAAATGTCTCAAAATTAATTCTTTGTAGTTCCCTAATAGATCTTTATTCCAAGTAAGCTCACTTGCTACTTAGCTCTGATGCAGAATTTATAACACTTTGTAGAGTATGTCATCTGAGCAATTTCAATGTGTTTTAGTGTGAATGATATATAATCTCCTGAAAATTCACCCCTCAAATAAGTCCTAATGGGCTGAGAGAACAGCAGTAGCTTAAGTGGATCTATTAAAAAAGGCTGAGTGGGTCAGTGATGGGGACGGAGATACCATTTTAACTCTCCCTTTAGTTACTGATCAAAATACATTGGCAGTCTAGTTTGACCATGAAAGGGCGCGCACACACACACACAGACACACACATGCACACACAGACACACACACAGACACACACATGCACAGACACACATGCGTGTGCACACACACATGCACATGCAGACACACACACACACGCACACACATGCACACATGTGTGCACACACGCACACACAGACACACACAGACATGCACACACACACCTCTATATAATTCACTTGTGGATCAACACTTGCTTTCTTCCATTGATCAGAATCACAGATTTTCCAACAAAGGAAAGGTGCCAGACCATTTTCGTCACCTCCCTTAGAATCAGAGTTGTATGCAGACTGCAGAGCATCTGTAATTCCTCTCATAGGGAAGTTAATTAGTGCAGAGAACAAGGAGACATTTTTCTCTGTCAATAGCCACAGAAAGGAAGACCCCTATGTAATTTTCAAGGTGAAATGTGCTGAGTTAAAGTCACTGTTTTAGGTTTAACTTCAGCAAAGGAATGACCCTTCAGTATTTACCAACTGATTTTTATGAGAGCTCAGAATGATGCCATATTCTAATTTTACTTGGCTCTACCCCTTTAGTTGAGCAATCGTGGGCGATTCATGTATTTTCTCTGGGACTGAGTCTTTTCGGGTGTCAGGTGAAAGGGCTGACTATATTTGGGCTAAATATATTTTCAGATGTAAACATCTGTGAGTTGTGATTTGGAGCTATCCATGATCACAGCATCTGAAAGAAAACAAATTCTAGAGCCTACAGTGTTTCCATTTTGAGGGGAAAAAAATTTCACAAAATCAGATTAAAAATCAAACATTTTTCATCATTTAGAGTAAAGTAAAAAGGACTGAAAAAAGAGAAACAATTTAGAGTGTATAGCAAGCGCGAAACTGCTGAGAGAGCAAGCGGGGTGGGTTGCTGCAGGCCAGTGTACTTTCCGCCATTTCTTTCCAAAGTCTCGGGCTGCAGGCACACAGATGTGCTGATCGCCCTGCATACCCAGCTCAATGGGCCAGTCAGGGTATGGGTGGCATTTCAGATATGCTTTCTAAGCCTTTTGAGAATTCAAATGCACAGAGTTATTTCTATTTTTGCAGAGCTACAATAAACTGGAGGGCTGTCAACCACTGAATGAAAGCGTTCATTGGATAAAAAACATCTTACTTCCAGACCCTTAGATTATATTGTGATTGAAGAGGAGTCTGGAAAGGCAGGCTTAAAATTAACAATCACTCACTATTCTAACTCAGCAAGGACCAGGCTGGACTGCATTCCAGCAGAAAGGAATCCTTATATTAAACTCAACATTAAACAAGTCAACTGAGGAACTTAATAGGCAGGTTTTTTTCTACACCTGTGGTTAAATATTCTAATATTTTGATATTTGTCAACAGCATCCTTTTGCAGGTATGGCTGCACCTCAATTTTTCCTTCTGTTTATTTCAAAGTTGACATTTTACAAGTTATTTAGGAACTGTTGAACCATGAAACTATTTTTCATTGTCAAAAATGCTGAATGGTGAAATAATGACTAGCTTTCACAGTTTGCCTCTTTATTTTATAATCTAGTTGAGCTACTAAATTTAGTTGTGAACTAACAGACTGTCTCTTCTGGGAAATAAGTTATCTCCCCCACTGCCTACAGGTTTTTGAATGTTTGAATGTAAATATCTGAATATATGAATGATTTAAGAACATAAACATATCACCGTTTGTTGTAATCATGTGCATTTTACTTGAACCACAATGTGGGTTTGAAATAGGTTTGTGAATAGAGCTTGTTTTCATGTAAATGGGATCAAGCGGTACCACTGGTTAGCTATTCAGTGAATCAGACAATGCCACCCTTGCTGGAAATGCTTCAATAAGATTTTAATCCATGTACCTAATATTTGAACTCCGACTCTTGCTTCATATTCCTGTGGCCTAATCCAGATCTCATTGCTGACAATGACCAAAGGATGGTGTGAGACTTAATGTGATCTGTTTATGTGTGGTACCTCTTTCTGACACTGAGGATTTCAGGTTTCGTCTTGGAGGTGGTGTCTAAAGAGAGCTTTCTTTTCTCTCCTGTGACATTCTTAAAAAAATGTAGCATGGTTTGCCTGCCTGCCTGCCTGCCCCTAGAAGCAGCATCCATGCAATAACTCTTACAGAGAAACACCACACCAACAGGACGTAAAGAACTTGTGGAATCCTGTGCTTCACTGCTACATGCACAACGTGCATATTAGAAATATTACTGTACTTTCTAAGTTTCTAAGCAACTTACCCATCCCCACGAATATGAAGAGAGACCATTACCAAAGCATTTCTTTTGGAAATACTATCAGCATCGCAGTGAGAGTAGCTTAATGTTTCACATTTACAAATGGGAAATTATAAACAGGCTGACATTCTGGCATTTACAACACCCAGAGGAAAAAAAAAAACAATTCATGCATGGAAAAGCCATTTATAAAATGAAGCCTGGTGTATTTAGTTCATTTGAAGCCATAAATTCTCACACAGCTACCAGATATGTATCTATGTGTGTGTGTATACATATAATATTGTATTATGTTATGTGTGTGTAATGTAAGTCTTAAACTGACTATGCATTATGTATATCAGTGGACGTGACCCTGTTGTCAGCTAGGGAAAAAAGACTGTTTTTCAAACATGTTGTGTGGCTATTTTTAACCTGAGAACATTAATCAGAAAAGAGCTTAAATCTTACTTCCTCTGCTTTTCCCTCTGGTACAAATAGGATGACATGGTGATGACATGGTGAGAGTGTCCATAACACAAGGTATGACAAAGCCAGGCTGTTTTGATATTTGTGTAAGGGACAAATTTAACTCTAAATCTCTTGGCCAGACCTGCCTTCCCCATATAATCAGAGCCTATCCGCGTGTGACCCTCTTCTAAAGCTTCAGGAAGACGCTGCCCCTTCCCTCTTGCCGCTGCTCTCTGATCTGACTTTCATGCTTAATCTGATCTAATCCTGCCAGCATTATCTTCATCTGTGCAATGAAACCTGGAGGATTCTTTCTCATATTTGGTGAGGAAAGGCATTTACTAAATTACTTGCTCGAATCATACCGTGAGGTTTTAGCTCCTTATTTTTGATAAGATGATGGCTGCAGCATTGAGGCACATTATCAATGATTAGTCAGAAATCTAGGTTTCTCCCATTTTTGGAACAAGATTTTCTGAAACTGGGTGCAAAAAGACTAAAAGGGCTCTGAAAAACTAGAAACTCTCAGCTAACAATAGAACAAAATAATTATTTTTCATGGAGAAGTATTTTTTTTTCCGAAGAAAAAAAGCAAACCTAATTCCAATGACTTTTGCAAAAAAGTTATCCATTGAAAATCTTAAAATAATAATAATAATAATAACGAAACCCACTTCCTGAAAATTTCATTCAACTCTCCTCTAGGGAAAGTCTTCTCTGAGTTCTGGATCTCATGATTGGCCCTATCAATGTAACAGAAGTTCTTCAGAATCTGAACTTAATGTGTTTTAAAATCTAAAGTGTCCTGATAAACATCATGATAAAACTACAAACAAGATCTTACTCTTAACAGGGAAAATACTTGTGAATTGTCAATGTTTCCCATAAGCTGAAATAATTATTTATTTATTTATTTATTTATTATTATTATTATACTTTAAGTTGTAGGGTACATGTGCATAACGTGCAGGTTTGTTACATATGTATACTTGTGCCATGTTGGTGTGCTGCACCCATCAACTCGTCATTTACATCAGGTGCTGAAATAATTATTATTCAAATTGCATGAAGAAATACATAAGATTAGTTGAAATAATTATTAAGGTCTGATGCATATTTATCCTGTAACTTATGATCAGACTTTCATTAACAAATAAGTAGACTGGGCTAAAATAGAAAGCAAAATACCTAATGTAAATTATTTTTAAAATGCAGGCACCTGACAGAGATTGTCATGTTATTATCTGCATAAGAATAAAATGGAATTTTAAAATTTTTGTTTTATGTATAATTAAATATTATAATTGAATACACTGAAAACATTAGATAGCAAACATATATTTTAAGAAGAGCTATTTCCCCAAAGATATTCCACAGATATGTTTATTTGCTAGAGAGTATGTGTGTGTACACACACATATATATTCCCTTATATCAATAGTCAGATCTCTCCTAAGAAGTAAGCTAATTGAGCTGTTTGTGTTGATAAACTCCTTTTTCTCCAGACTATTCCTCTCCGAGCCATAATTATTTGCAATTTGCCTAAGTCGTCCATTTACTGATACGTCAAGCATGAAACAGAGGCAATTCCAGAAAATGGAAATGCTTCTCAAAATCAATCTTTGGGAAATAATGTGGTAGAAGTTACTGTGTGATAGAAGACTACCTTATAACTGTCACATGGAGATGAATATTAATTTGTTGAGGTTAAGGTGGCTTTGTGCTTCATTTGTTGACTTTGCTTAGCCGTCAGCAAAGCAGCACAGCCCAATTACTCCAGCAAAGCTATTTTTTTCTAACAGGAGTTTTATGATTTTTATGTACTTACCAGTCAGCACACATAACAATGTCAAAATGTCCTTCCAGTTGAGAGACATCTGTCTCATTATCCCATCGTAAAACGCTTGAGGAGAAAAAGATTTTAAAAATTATACATAGGGTTTTTTTTTAACTTTTGATTTTGAGCTATTAACATTATTTTTTGTGGCACTTGAAATTATTTAAAAGGTATATACAGATTATTTCAAAAGGTATGATAAAAAATAGGATGTAACCGTCTTCTGTGTTTTATTTAGTATTCAAGTCTAGAAGAAGAATTCTCTACTTAAATACAATAGTTAACCTTTTTGCTAGTTTTTATAGGTTTTTGTAGACAAACTAGAGAAAAATATGTTATCTTTACCATAGTCATTATAATGATTCTAGACCCTTAACATCAATGAGGTACATATTGAAACCAAAGTATTCCACATTTGACTGGAATACAAATTTATAAAAATAAATGATGTGAGACAGTTTATATCTATACTGCCTGGCATCTCAGTTGCTTTTCGTATTGATGAAATGAGCAATTTGGCAAGATGGAAGAAAAGAAGAGTCAAATTTCATTTGGTAGTTATTGGTTTTTAGGCATAGTGAAAAATTCACCCACACTGACACTTAGTCTTCCAAAGGGGATCAGGATTAAAACTTCACATTAATAACAATAATTAGTAACATGCATTTGAAAACTTTAGTATTTAATGCTTATGAGGCCAACCAGAGGTTTTTAGTGACTCTCAATTAATAACTGTGATGATTAGCATTTTACCATATTCAAGTTTTTTAATGATTCATCTTACCACAGCACCAAAACTGTGATTTACAGTACTATTTTTCAAAGTAAAATTCTGTTCCTATTTTCTATTTTGATTCTTTAGACCTAACCGGAGTGAACATGTCCTACCCTGCCCAGTTATATTTGCTTGTTTTGGTGGATTCATTTCTTCTACATCTTCCCTAGGTGAAAAGTCATGTGTCTGAATATAATAATAAGTCTTATACTAGTTAGCTCAAAAGATCTTTTCATATACAATACATTAATATACATTAATGCCAGTTAATTTCTCAAGGTAGAAAAGATTAAAGACATCACCACAAAAATACCTCCACAGGCTGGGCAGCAGTTGTTCATTGACTTGTCCAACTCGTTCTTACTGAGCCACTCCTCACTGTGTGTCAGGTCCTGTACTGTGCCATAGACCATGCCTTCACAGGGGCAGCCTGATGGGCCATATGGACACATAAACCCCCAATTCCTATGCTGTATCCTATGTATTGGGTGAGTATACAGACTTGGAGCATGGGAGGGCTTTCCAGAAGCTGTGGGTTACCTCAGTGTTCACAGGTCCAGTAATACCCAGATAAGCTTTACAAATTAACTTTAGTGTTGCTGTACTTGCTGAGGCCTACTGGATAGGCAAGAAATGAAGGAAATTAGGAAATCCCTAAGAGATCAATGCTTACTTTGTTTACGCATTTCTCAGAAACTCCATGCACCTGGGGAGAGCCAGAAGCAACCAACACCAACTTCTCTGGAAATGCTGAGGCTCCCAGTGTACCTGGGACTCAGGCTCAGTGAGAGATGGGGCCTGCTCAGCCCTCATCAGAGCCCTGAGTCTTAGAGTCTAAGACTTGAACCATGAGCAAGATGGTTTAAAGTATACATCTATACTAGACGTTCTCAGATCAGAAAAGTAATGTATCCATCCATCACATGAATCTTGAAAAAAAAGATTAAAGTATTAAAATATTCATAATCTTACCATTCCACAAATGTCTCTTCAGAATTTGCTTTTAATACATATGCAATTACTAAAGCACAAGAGCAGACTGCAGGAAATCCTGCGGTGATGGTGGATGTTGTATTTCTGAGGTGCTTCAGCCGCTTGGTTCAACAAAGACAAACTGGAGAGATCGGGATCTAAGCAGCCACTGGGTATGGATTCCCACAGCAGCTGTAACAAGTCATGACTCTAAAATAAATTGAAATGCCCGGCTTGGTCACATGGACCATAACACATTCCCAAAAGGCATTTTTCCCCAGTTCTCATGAGGCTTATGGCTGTGCTATAAGCATGTGACAGAGAGAGAGTGGTATTGTGGACAGAGTTCAGCTTTAGCACAACAGACAGACCTAGGTTCAAATCTTGGCTCCTCCCCTTAGTAGCTGTATGAGTTTGGGCAATTATGTAACCTTTCTGAGCTTGTTTCCTGATCTGTAGAATGGGGATAACACTAGCTCTCTCCTTGAACATTCTAAGAGCACCATTCATACAGTACCTGGAGTTGTATTGTTCATGTACCATATAATGAGAATGGTGCTTCCTGGAGCTGTGCAGTCAGGCAGCCTGCTATCTTGGAAGACTAGAGATGATAGGGAGTTCACTATTCACTCCTCTCCTCCATGACCTTGTCCTCCACCTTTGGAGATACACTCCCATGCATGCTCGTGAGAGCATGTGCTTCCACTATGGGGAAGGACCAGACTTTGTTTGTATCTAATCTGTTGCAGACCAATGCTTTTGTAAAATATAGTCACAAAGGAATAGACAAATGAGATTAAAAACACAAAGGCATTCCCAATACAAGTCCACTGATCATATGCTTGGATGTCGCAGCAGTGTTTCTAAACATTTATTTTCAATTTCTGAACTTATCTCCTTGCAGATCAGTAACATACAGTTCACAGACTGGCACCAGTTCATGGCCTACTCATTGGGTAGCACTCCTCCAAACCTATCTTTACCAGTTACTGCAACTCTAGCCACTCTCCGACCAAGCCCTCCTATCTTTCACAGCTCATTCTTTCTAGAAGGTACTCTTTAGTCCCACTGGCCCACACTGATCCTATCACCATGTCACTGTCCCACTTCCCTATGTTTATCTTTCTTTCTTGTTCAGCTTAAATTCCATGGCCTATCATTGTAACTACTCCCTTGCATACACCCTCAACTTCCTCATCCCTCTCTTACTTCCTTATATTTGTTAAATCCAGCTCTCTGCCTGGCCCATGACTGCACCTGTGCACCTGAATGTGGCTAGAGACAGTACACAAGCATCCTCACTGGCTTTGCTTTGAATTCATGACCATGAACCTCAAGTGGACTCTTAATGACATCTGGCAGTTATACTTACATTTCCTTTGCCCATTTAGCCTCCCACTATCCTAGGTCATTATTTTGCACTTTCTACTCTCTCTTCAAAATTCTGACACTATTCCCCTCCTCCTCACTTTCAGATGATGACCCTGCTTCTTTCTTTACTGTCAAAATTGCAGCAATCAGGCTGGGCACGGTGGCTCATGCCTGTAATCCTAGCACTTTGGGAGGCGGAAGCAGGTGGATTGCTTAAGCCCAGGAGCTTGAGACTAGCCTGGGCAACATGGCGATACCCACCTCTGCTAAAAATACAAAAAATTACCTGGGTGTGGTGGCGCACACCTGTGGTCTCAGCTACTCTGGAGGCTAAGGTGGGAGGATCATCTGAGCCCAAGAAGTCAAGGCTGCAGTGAGCCGTGATCTAGCTACTGCACTCCAGCCTGGGTGACAAAAATGAGACCCTTTCTCAAAAAAAAAAAAAAAAAAAAAAAAAAAAAAAAAATGCGGCAGTCAGTTAGGAACTTCCATAAACTCCTACCACCACACTTATGTTCCTAATAGCATCTGAACCTGCATACGCTGCCTTCCTGCCTATTACCATAGATGAACTATCTGTACTCCTATCTACAGCCAGTACCTTCTCTTATGCCGCCTAGACCCAGCCCCTTTGATCTATTCTAGGACATGCTCTAGCATTTTCCTTTCTCTTTCCTATATCAGCTCTCTTCTTTCTCTGGATTATTTCCACCAGTATCCAAACATGGAGTTATTTCCCCCCTTGTAAAATATCCTCTCCTGGCAGTTACTGCACCATTTCTCTATTCCTCCTTTGCAACAAACTCTTTGAGAAAATTGTTTGACACTCTCTTGCCAGTTCCTCTCCTCTCATTCTCTTAAAATTCACTCTAGCCAGGTTTTTGTCCCCACCGTTCCACCAAAAATGCTGCTGTCAAACTCACCAAAGATCCCCACATTGCTAAATTTAGGTCAGTTCTTAGTCTTTATCTTACTTGATCTATCAGCCTGAACCTCTCCCATGAACTCTAGATTCATATATCCAACTTCCTATTTTAATATTTCCACTTAGACATCTACTAGACATCTCAAACTTAACATGTCCAAATTTGAATTCCCAATCATTTTCCCCAAAACTCACTTCATTCAGTCTTTTTAAAATCTCATTAATGGTAATTCCATCTTTCCAGTTGCTCAGGCCAAAAACCTTGAATATATCCTTGACTCTTCCTTTTATAGGCCACATTGAATACGCCACAAGTGCAGTTCATTCTACCTTTGAAATATATCAAAATCTAACCACTTCTCTCTATCTCTACTGCCCTCCCCAGTCTAAACTACTATCATCTTTCATCTGAATTATTGGATAGGCCCCTAATTGGTCTCCCTGCTTCCATCTGTCACCCAAAAATCTCTGCTCAAGAGACCAGCCAGAGTGATTCTTTTAAAACATGTATCAGATCATGAGCCTTTTCTCTCTTCACTCAGAGCAAAAGCCAAAGTCTTTACAATGACCTGAAAACCCTTATACAATTGGGCCTGGTTACTACTCTGTCCTCATCTCCTATTACTCTCCTCCTTGGTCTCTTTGCTCTAGTAACACTGGCCTCCTTATGCTTTCCTGAATACACTGGCATGGTTCTGTTCTAGGGTCTTAATACTGGCTGCTTGAGCAGCCAAAATGCTCTTCCTCCAGATACTCTAGAGCTACAGCTCACTCTGTCACCTCCTTCAGGTCTTTCTGTATATGTCTTACCTTCTCAGGGAAGCCTCCCCTGACCATCCTCTTTAAAACTGCAATCATTTATTTTCAGTCCAGCACTTCTAAAACCCCCTTATCTTGCTCTTTATTTTTCTATAGCAGCTATTACCCTTTAATGTGCTATATAACTAGATTATTGATTTTGTTTCTTCTCTCTTTCCCCACTAGAATATATGTGCCACAGGGATATAGATTTTTAAAATCTGT